TAACACATGCTGATATTATTGTTTTGTTTTTGTTTTGTTTTTTTCATAACGTGATAGGTCAACGACAGTCATCGCATTCCTATTGGAGCTTGATCACGAGTGGGGCCGGGCCGGTTCAGGATAACTACCGTGAATTACAGATAAACCTCGTCCCACTTTAATGACCGGACCACTTCAGACTTCACCTATGTGTTGAATCATACCAAGCCTGACCGTCCATAAACCCGCAGTATACACGCCGTAGCGTAGATTCTTCCTCAGCCTCAGCCACCACGCGCCCGAGCCCTTTGCATCCACATTGACTCCTAAATATAAATATCGTCCCAGATCTCATCGTTGCTCTAGCCTTGCACCTTTATGTCGTGCCAATGGGTTGTTGCCATCATTGAGCATTTTTATAATCCCCTCAGTGTATCTTCCCTTTCCTTCCTCTTTTGTACACGTCCTACTTCCATCATAACTTTCCTCAGTAGGGCGTGTGAAGGTAGGTGATGTGACGAGTATGGTGGGTCGCAGGTGTAGGATCGACTGAGATATAGATCGTCGCAAATATCTGAGTTTGAGAGATGTCGGATGTTTGAATACGAGCCCCAAACAGACCTAAGCCCATTCGTGAATTGTATGTTGGTGGTGATGAGTTTTTGTTCGACTTCGTCCCGGCTGTGAAATCTCTTCCGGCTGATTTTTCCACCAAAATATCGAGTATAACTCTTTCAAGCCGAAAATCCATCGAAAGAAATCATTCAATCCTTTTTCGTGACTGAATCTCAGCTCTGGGAGAATATCCCACTTCCAGTTTCGTGTATGAGACCACTGACAGGTTTTCAGCCATCGTCCTCCGCTGATATAAGTGTGTAACGTTCAAAAGACAATTCTTGTCAGACTCTAAGAGATTAGCTAAGCTGGTCCATGGCCATTACCTAGCGGTGTGTGCAATTTTTAAGTCGGATATTTGCAGCGTTCACTATAAGCCTAGGGCTGGATGGTGCAATGGTACACAATTCGAGCTATTCTCCCATGTGGAATCTGGGAAGATTGAACAACCACACCTTCTAGGACAGGAGAAAGCTGGTTCGAACCCAGTAAAAACCACACATCACTCTCTCTTGCGGCGATATTGTATTTGTGAGATGGTTAATGCACATTCGGATAACCATAGGTTTTTCACGATTTTTCCTGTAGTTGGCATGCACGGAAGAGGTTATACGCCGCAAGGGTTAAGCTCGTGGGATATCTGCAAATAAAATCTGAGTGTGAGTATTCAATGCGTCAAATTGAGTCATCCTACTTCAATTACTTATATTCCGGTAAAACCTGCATGGGCTTCAAGGCGCTAAATCAGGAAAATTGAACTATTTATTTATTTTACTATGCGCCTAGTCCCATTAGGCTTGTAAAGATTGCAGAATTTCAGGAGTTATGAACTGTGAAGGGACTAATCACATTAGCTATTCGCATGAATATGTGTCGTAAATTAATTTATATTCTGTATAAAGAAAGAAGTACTACGAAGACTACATGCTTATCTACTCGATACCGCGCGTCGCGTATGGATTTATGCAGGAGTTATCCTTTACACAACTCCTTAATCCAGCCAAGCCATGTACTCTAAGACTTCTCGATAAATAAACCGGATAAACTCCGGTTACAACTAAACAAGGCACTAGCCTGTGACATGAACTAATAGAAATAGCAGAGTGCAAACGCCGACTGGAGCAGTATTCATATTTATCGTGCGCTAGATTCCAGGTCAAGCAGGGATCTAAAGAGGACAGATGCAGAGCCAAAGATGCTTGTATCGGGACAACTACACGGTCAGAGACTCCAATATCCAGAGCCAGAAGCCCGGTGTGTTTGTGTTCATTGTACTACTTGAGTCTATGACTATCTAGCACATTGGGCTCCTCTCTGACCTAGGCCACGCCTTGTACAGTGGTCCTTGCCTCTCATGTGACTTGAAAGATCATTAATATATTACCTGTGATGATTAGCCATTCAGCTAAGTATTTACCCATGGAATTCGGCCACCTTTTCCACAGAACCTTCTACCCCCCAAAAAAAAATGGTAGCAATGGAAACTGCGTGCGCGGGAAAAAGTCTCAAAAAACCTGCAGTCCCAGACAGGCGAGACCTAGACACCGCGACCACATGAGCTGCGCATATTCATCTATATCTCCCTCCTTTGTAACAATCGAGGCCGACTTGATCCAATCCGCCATCGCCGTATCGGGTGCTGGGTACGCTTCCGAAACTCATCGGATGGCATTTCCTCCCTGATCAAGGGTGGGTGATGAGAAGGGCTACGACCCTACCATCTGATCTGGTCGTGGTTAGCTTCATGATAGTGGTGATAGGGGAATGTGTTGAGAGATGAAGACAATACAGACCGCGAAAGCGATTGGGAATCCTCGTCGAAGTGAGAAATTTGTTACTCAGTCTCGGCTCTGCAGACTCTACAGTGGGAGCTGGAGGTTCGTAAGGGACACCGCTGGCAGGTGTTGAGAATAGACCCCCTCACTAGCCGTTACAGTATGAGAAAACCACCTGGCCATCTGCGGGCCCCTGTACATTTTGGATACCAGTACCACTAGTCCCTTGTTGTACATGTTTATCTATGTATAAAGGTCTGTTGTGATCTGTGTGGTGAAACTTCTCTGTCTGTAAAGCTACTGCGCCTCAGAATGTGGAAGTCTGTACGAAGGAGGTATGTGCAACAGTTATTCCGAACCTTGCACGGGTATACCATGATCCGAAAATTCCGAACCCAACGTTCAGATATGTCGCCTGCTGCATGCGTGGCGAAGGCAACAAAACGCAGAGACATTAGAAACACTGCTACTATTATGCTGCAGTTGCCATAGCTGTGCAACTGAACACACTACAAATTAAAATATAAATACCCTCCCGTAAATCGAGGTCGTTCTTAAAAGCTCGAAAAATAGAGGCTTACAGACGATGGATTAACAAGGTGTCATTGTCATAAATTTATGCCAATAAGGATGGAATATCAGTGGGAGACGGGCGTCCCTCTCGGCTTCGTCTTGATTAGAGGTAATTTGACCTCTCTAAAGGGCCGTTGTGTTAGGTCAGGAGAGAGAATCTGAATGGGAAGATGACTGGTACAACAAAAGCTCTCGAGGCTGTACATAACTATGCGAGAGGGACACAGCGGCGTATAAAGCTGCTGATGGACAGTCAGCACGCGATAAATTGACTCGAGAAAGGTCCTCAGCTTGTCTTGAAGGGGGGACTATTCTCAACACCTGCCAGCGATGTCCCCTACGAACCTCCAGCTCTCACTGTAGAGTCTGCAGAGCCGAGACTGAGTAACAAATTTCTCACTTCGACGAGGATTCCCAATCGCTTTCGCGGTCTGTATTGTCTTCATCTCTCAACACATTCCCCTATCACCACTATCATGAAGCTAACCACGACCAGATCAGATGGTAGGGTCGTAGCCCTTCTCATCACCCACCCTTGATCAGGGAGGAAATGCCATCCGATGAGTTTCCGGAGCGTACCCAGCACCCGATACGGAGATGGTGGATTGGATCAAGTCGGCCACGATTGTTACAAAGAAGGGAGATATAGATGAATATGCGCAGCTCATGTGGTCGCGGTGTCTAGGTCTCGCCTGTCTGGGACTGCAGGTTTTTTGAGACTTTTTCCCGCGCACGCAGTTTCCATTGCTACCATTTTTTTTTGGGGGGTAGAAGGTTCTGTGGAAAAGGTGGCCGAATTCCATGGGTAAACACTTAGCTGCATGGCTAATCATCACGGGTAATATATTAATGATCTTTCAAGTAACATGAGAGGCAAGGACCACTGTACAAGGCGTGGCCTAGGTCAGGAAGGAGCCCAATGTGCTAAATAGTCATAGACTCAAGTAACACAATAAACATTCCTCTCCCTCTCACCAGTCTTGGGCGCCAACTGTGTCGACTCGAGTAAGATTAAATGGGTGCCTGAGTATTTAGGAATAATGGAAAATGAAAAAATAGATGCCGTCGCCCTGACCGGTCTGTAAACAACGCTGGCATTACTGCAACGCCAGCGATAGACATTGATAGGAAACGGCTGGAACAAAGCTTGTACACACAGGTATTGCTAGCTTGACCCACCCATGCGCCGGTGGTAGCCACCGGACGTAGGACTATCTAGATATCTGCTGCTAAAGCTCATGGCAGTCCGAACGGGCCACGGTAACTCCGCACCGTACCATGGCCGATTCAAAAATCTCGACGCTGTAATGGAGAGATATATGGAGAGGAAACTACTCCGACTCACTTCATGCCCTGTCGACTAAAGCTCACATCACGCGGCGCGGAGCGTTGCTTCCCAGGAAAAATTTCGAAAACTCGCCCTTTTCTTTCTATTTCACTCCAGATCTCGTATCGTATTACTCCTCAAATTATAAACGTTTATCAGGCGTGTTCAAATACCTCTAGTGCCGAAAGGCGTCTAAATGACACGTTGGGCTGCTTGAGGGACGGCACGAGATCCTTTAGTCGTGAACTGGTTTCATTCTTCAAAATGCGGGGTGGTCGAGTCTTAGAGGATATTTGTGCTTCAGCACATTGGTATTGGCTCCTCTCGATGGTCGAATTGGCATGACCAACTCGCAGAAGAAGTCCGAGATAGTCTGTTCATTCAAGTGGGATGAGGTTTATGTCCTTAATGACAGATCGCCTGATCCAGACTGGCCCCAGTCGGGCTTCGACTATCATGGAGTGCAGAAAGTGCCAATTTTTTAGCATGTTGACCTACAATAACCTTGCTCATATTTCCGGATAGAGCAGTTGCGTATCAGGAACCTGGGCATAGATAGAGCACGTTCAGTCCCATTTACGACCCATAACTCGACAACGAGCATAAGGTCTTTAAACTTTCAAGTCTATGTTTTAATGCGCGTAAATTTGATTCATAACTATCTCATATGCTCTAACAGCCTGCACCTGTAAATAGACCAAGCCAAATTCCCACGCCGGTACAAACATCTACTAATTTGAATATTCTACTACTTCCTGAAACCATTGCCGTAATAAAGTAGCTAAGACGCTGGGCAGTTCCTTGATATCGCTCACAATTACATAATACTGGAATGGGAAGCTATCCAGGTACCTCGAGGTAACAACCGCCCCATTTACAAACACGGCTTGGTTTAATTCTACCACACTCTGTCCATTCTTTTTGCTCTTTACATCATCAACAATGACGAAGATCATCATTATACGCTCTTGCAAGGCCTCGCGCAATAGCCGTCGAATCTCTTCATGATCTCGGGATTCACAGATACCGTCGGAAATAATTATTTCCATTTGCCATAAATCGGCTGGTCGACTGCTAGCTTTGGCTCGTGCTGTGCGAAATATCTCAATGCTTTCTGCTACAAGTCGAGCAATATCAGTGCGATTTTGCTGAAAGCAAAAGTGCTGTAGTGCCCTGGGCCCGGCATCCGAGGTGAATGGTACATCAAAGTCATGAGCAATTTTGACGTTTTCGCCAAAACCAACCATGCAGATCTCTCCGACTTCAAGCATACTCAACGACTTAGAGACCATTACAAGCGTTTCAAAAGCCAATGATCCACTTCCGCTTTCTCCCATACTTTTGCTATCGTCGACAGCTAGCATAACCTGATAATTTCTTTTAGACGGAACACTACGTCGCATCCATATCTTATCTCGCTTAAACTGAGAGGCAATATATGGAATGATTCGTTTGATATTGAGACGCTTACCAGTACGAAAGTCACCGCGCATCTTGGTTGCTAGAGTCGGAGCAAGAATAAGACGAAGTTGCTCAGTGAGTGAAAGAGAAAGATCTCGTGTAAGCCCCTCGTAGTGGTTCCATTGTTCATAAGAAAGTTTAAACGGCCTAAGACTGACTTCGCTCTCAAGATGGACACTCTCAAGTTGATGATCGACTTCCTCTACTTTCTGTTCTATATCTTGGTCAAAAATCTGTGTATCATCATCTATGGGATTTTCCTTGGGTTGGTAAATTACTGCTCCTAATTGACCTTCAGAGGCGTCAGAGTGTTCATCATCTTTTTGTGCCATTGGATCATCAATATCTCTATCGCAGTCTGAGTCGTAATTTTTCTCATTCTCAGCCGAAACCATTTTTTCAAATTCATCTTTTATCTGCTGATCTACAGCCATTGCATCATCCAATGCATGGGCCTGATCTTCGGTTGTGTTTCCCAGGGCCTGAGCGTCAGACTCATCATTTTCACTCTTAAGATGCTGGAAGTCAATAGCATCCTTGATTGGATCTTTTTTAGAATCTTGTTGTTCGCAAGGATCACGTATATCATTTTGTTGACGATACCAATTGTCCAAAACGTCGCCAAGTTTCTTAAATGGTTGAGCAGAGTTCGAGTCTTGTGTCTCGTTCGCCATATCCTGAGGAGCCTCACCTTTTCCCATTTCTCCCTGATTGTTAAGCTCGCTCTCAAAATTTTTACCACTAGATGCTTCACCATCTTGCTCACTTTCATCCTCCTGCGTCTTGCTTGCGTTTTCTTGATTTTTATTCACCTCTTTGTCTTGGCTTTTGTCGCCTCCATGGTCATTACTGGAAAACCCTTCCATATCATCTATTTTAACTTCGTCATGATGATGAAAAGAGTTTTCATCTTCGCATGCTTGATCCTCGACCTCATCTTGAGTCTGATCAGCCTCCTCCATTTTCTCATCTTCATCTTCTCCCTCATTTTTTTGATTGTCTTCAACTTCATTCTTATCAAGGTCCATTTCATCTACATCAGAAAGGGGTCCTTCGTTAGGTTGGTTCGACTCTTCATCAGGGGTTTCTTGTTTTTGGTCATCATCGGGCATCTCATCTAGATTTTTCGAATCTTCTACGTCGGAGAGATCTTCTAATCCATCTTCTTCTGACGCACTTTTTGAATCTTCTCCGTCTAGATTCAAATCTTCCGGTAAGTCGAGCACCTCTGATTCTTGTACATGTGGATCATGATTTTCAATTTCGTTTGGCTTAATCTCTTCTCCTTGCTCCTCACCAGCCATCTCCTCTTCCTGGGATTGATTGGTTTCATCCTCCTCGACCTTTTCTTTTTCACTAGACTCAGAAGCTACCTGCTCGTCTTTCTTTGTCTCTCCTTTTGATTCGTCTCCCTGTTGGTCTTTTTCAGCTTCTTTTCCACCGTCATCCCACATCTTTTCATCGACAGCTGTCGGATCCAAGTCATCGACATCACCTGTCTCCTCATTCATTTCATCCTCGGTATTTTCATCCTCGGAGCCTTCATTATCTTCCTTTCCCTCTTTCGAATCCTCCATTTCTCCTTCCATATCATCATTAGTAATATCGATAGCATCTTCCTCATTCTTCATTTCACTCTCTCTATCTGTGTTTGGCTCTTGTGCTAACTCATTCAAATCTTCATCGTCCTGAATATCTTTACTAATATCTTCAGCACCCTCACCATCTCCCAAACCTGTTCCATCTTCTAGTTTTTCAGATTGACTTTCCTTGGTGTCAGGGCCCTCAGAAGGCGAACAAAAACCTTGCGTAGCTATTTGAATAAAGGTTTTAGCCAAAATATATAGAGTCTTGCAGGAAGCCATATGAATTAAGACGTATCGCCGATAACTATTTTGTACGATTATAAAATACTGCTCTAGAATGGGAAGAGCGACAGCAAAGCAAGCAGCTGAGGTTGTACTTATTTGGTCATCTTTAAGATTCAGTCGTCCTAAAATTTCAAATGATTCTTGTACCAGCCGATATATAGTTTCGATATGAAGTGTGCTTAAACTATTTTGTGATATAGAATTATTTTGAACTAGCCATCCAGCATCTTCTGAAGATTTTGGCAAGGTCGAGACGAGTCTTGAATAGTTTTCAATAGCCACCAGCACACTATCACATAATTCAGATAGTTTACAATCTAATTGAGAAATAGACGATTGATTTGAGTGACTTTCATTTTCAGGCTGTGGCATCCGAGTCCATGGTATGATTTGGTTGATGATGAATTCAAGACATGGATATCCTTCTAGAACACTTTTGAGATCTAAGATAAGTTGTCCAACTAAATCATCGATTTTGGAATACAAGTTTAGGATCTCAGTTGATATTACTTGGGAAGGAATACAGGGTAAAGAATCCCATTTCACTTTGAGCTGAGTAAATTGAGAGATCCAGTTCTTAAAGTTAGCATTAATAGCGCTGCAGTCGAAACCTCGGAATTTGGAGTGTATTTCGATGAGATCATTTCCTACTAGAAGTACAGTAGGTAACCACTGAAGGTACCTATAGTGATTCGTTGATCTCGAATGATTCTTTATATTATAATCATGCGTCCAGAGACCTTTCATCATCTGCAAGCTCGTATCAAGTGCCTTCATACTTGATGCGGTCTTCAACAGGAAATTATGCTGCGAGAAAATGGTTTGATGTAAACCCTCCATTAGTCCTATACTTTTTTCCACATCTACGCTGCTCAAATCTATAGAGTGTCCTTTCACAGAATTGCGGGCTCTAGGAACGATGTCTATTGCCGTGTGGAAGTGATATTGCACTTTATCCGTAGTGACGTCCCCGAAAAAATCCAGCTGGCTCAAGACATAAGATAGAGATTCTTGTTTTTGAAGCGCATCGGAGCTTAAATGACTCTTGATACCCATCCGTCGTAGTTCTTTCAGAGTATCAGCAAAAAGTTTTTTCTTCCTTGTCTTCAAGTGCTTAACCTGATCCTTATTCTCGTCTGTCAATTTTGAAGGTGTCATCTTCTGTAGCTCAGAAACTGCACTAGTTAGGCTTGTGACGAATTCTTCGAGGTAGCTGGAAATATCGACTACGCTTTCTGGTATTACAGCCGTATTTGCCATTAAGCTAGTTGTTTGTGAAATATTTACAAAGCGTTTGCTCTTTTCCGACCATCTTGGTACAAAGGATTCACATACTGCAAGTGCTGAGGGTTCCACGCCGGCAGGCGAGCCCAAAATTTGTTGAGTAGAATCATCTGTGCTTTTTTCTTGGGGAAGTCCTTGCATCAAAACAATCTCCATTGGTTGTCCTAATAGTGCTCGAAATTTCCTAATGACCTTGAAAAGTTTATGATGAGACCTTTTGGCGCTATCTCGCAAGGCAACGATATTGGTATCTTTCCAGCTAGCCATCAACGAGATGTCATGCATCATCTTGTCTAGACTAGTTCTTCCCTTCATGAGGGTTTCCTGTACAGGCTTTTCATATCGGGAGTAAAAATTAACAAAGTTTGCTACAGCCTTCATGATAATAGACATTGTAGGAACTTCCAACTCGAGGATTTCGAGATGCTTTTGAAGCTGCTTCATTAGCTGGAGTCGCTGAGAAAATTGGCCGAGTATTGCAGATGAGAAGTATGTTTCCAAGTCTTTTAAAAGCTTCTGAGCATAATTTCTCACATTAGATTCAGACTCGGAAATTTGAAGGGGAGCTGCGATGACTATTTGATAGGCTATAAACCACCAAGATTTAGCATCATCCTCACATTTTTTGACCTCCATATCAAATAGCCTAGACCATGTAGATAGCTCTAGTCGTCGCCAGCGAACAATAGTAGTCGTAATTTCTTGATAGTACTCAAGAACTGAATTAGCTCGGCTGGCCCATCCACCAAATTGCCATTCATGCAAATAAGTGTGAATCTTCTCAACCTTTGTAATAATTTTGGCAAGAGGTTCTATATGTCGAAACTGGAGTAGCTCATTGCATGATACAATTACATCTTCGAGCGGCTGCATATGTCCGATATCATCTATAGACTGAAGTTCCCTAAAACGATTCTGAATCCTTTGCGATAGTTTGACTAGCTTACGACATTCAGAAAGGTTTGGATCTAAATAGAAATTATAATATTGAGGAGTAATTTCCGAATTAAATTCCCGAATCTTATCATCAAGAAGTAGTAAGCTTCCAGGTAGAGACCTGGCCTTGGAACTTGGATCTGCATTACTATAATTAGGATCTGAAATGGATCTTAGTGATGAGGATCGAATTAGATTTTTTATACTATCCGCAGGCTCGACGGGGTTGAGAAAAATTTCTGCATGCAACTTTGCGAACCTAACAGCAGTGTCCCGAATATAAGTAGCCTCCAAAAATTTGGTTGATGGGGATGTTTCTTCTTCGTATGATGGAAAGATTTGTTCATATTCTTGCTTCTCGATTTCCTCCTGATCCGAGTTAGCCCCACGGAATTGATAAAGTCGTGATTTAGATTCGGCCTCAAGTCGATCAATCTCTAGTTGACTGCTCCACTTGTCGTAGTATTCGTGAACCACCCTAAGTAATGATTCTCGAGCTTTCGTCTTCAAGTAGTTTGATCCTTCACTCGCAGAATTTATCGCCACAAAAGCCAAGTATTCTTCCGGAAAATTAAAGCCAGCAATACTCCCAATTTCTATTTTATCCCCGAAACCAGTCATGATTGATATCAAGTCTCCATATCCTCTGAATTTTTCGCCATCAGAAGGTAAGTTGACACCAATTACCGCAAATGAAAGACCAATTTGTAGGCACTTGATCATACTTAAGATCGGCTGAATTATATCACCATATGCTTGAAAGCCACGAGTAAGCCGATTATAAATTTTGGCGACATTTCTCTGGAGTAATTGAATCACATGATCATTTGCACCCGATTGAGTTTTGAATAGGTTACTGATACATGCGATAATATCAGATCCGAGAACAATTTTCAAAAGATTATTGAATTCTCCTTGAAGTTGATTAATTTCTGACTCTGCAGGTCGATAGATATCCTGCAGATCCTCAGGCAGTACTCCTAGTTCAGTAAGTTCAGATTCAAGGAGTTCACACCGTATGTTTGTATTATTCTTGGAAAAAAAATACTCGAATCTCTTCAAGGCATCTAATTTTTCTGATAGCTTATTTTTAGCCGTATTGAAGCGCTCGGTTTCTAAACGCTGTTTCTTTTCCGGATCAATTGCACGATCTGGAACGTAAAGAATAATACAACCAATAGCAAAATGAATCCACGCAAGAGCTGATGATTGAAACATTATTATATCGTGATTATCTGATGTCATAGCTAGCTGAAATGAAGGTAAGAAGTGATCTTGAATCACTTCACGTAGATTTGCATTAACACTAGCATGAGATGAGTGTTCTAGAAAATCTGAGGAACTATTCGATTGACACAAATCTCTCCAATAAGAAAGAGATCTCATGCCATGTATTTCGATAAAGCTGTGAATTAGCTGCAATAATATTTTATTGAGAAGAAGTAGTTGATTCTGGCAAATATTTTCACAAATAAGTGCGAGTTTCTGGCCAAGAATTGGCAACTCCAGTTCTAAAAGACTTAGCGCTTTGAGTTCCACTTTATCAATTCCCCTCAAAGCCACCAAAAGGCCTGATAAGAGGGTGCTGTTGGTAGGATTAAAATTGCCATTTTCGCATAAAAGGTAGTCTATTGCCTGGAAAAAGACTGATGAAGGTGTGGCACTTCTGAAGTTCATTTGACAAACAGTCGAATAATCTGATAAAACAAGTAACTCGAGATCGCTTTTATCTTCATAATTATTTGAGCATATTGATTCTAAAGTTTTATATTGCCGGATAGCTTCAAATTGCGTTCGAAAGTATGGAGTAGTTTTGTCTTCGATTTTTTCCATACCACACTCCAGTATCTTCATTTCATGGGCCAGAGAAGATATAAGAGCTGTGCCATCAACCTCGGTCTCCAGAATAATCTGATAAGCTCTTACCAAAGAATCCATTATATTAGCGAGATTTTGCACTGAAGCCGCAGTTTTCCATCTCATTGTATCAAAGCGGATGGCCAGCTCTTTCATCTTAGATAAGCTATCAAATACATTACTACTACGAATGGATTTAGGTCGTAAACAATTCCAGATGATCCCCATACTAATACCAGTTGTAAGCTTAAACTTCGAACAAAAGTTTTTCTCCAGCTCTTCTTTGAAAGATTGGATAATCGGATATTCATTAGATGAATATTCGGGTAGCAACTCTCTACCAATAGCAAGATGGGCCTGAAATGTAACTTCATCGAATAATTTTTCTGTCACAAGATGAAGGGTATATCGCCAATATTGAAGTAGGGAAGAAATAACCATTTTAGACCTTAGCCACTGATCATGATCAGGGGTATAATTTTGCGAAAATCTCCTCAGTAACTGTAATGTAAACTGAAGGAAATACGCTACGCTGACGGTAGAGTCATTCGCTACAGCAGATACTTGTTCCTTCATTATTGATCGCTGAAATCTGTTCATCTTGCTCGGCTTTTTATTTTCGATAGATATTACTTCATTATTTAGAACTCTACTCGCTTCACTGATTTCCAGAAGAATGTCTATTGCTGCGCCGAGCCAGTATACTACTTTCGATTTCTGGGATTGTACTATCACATTCACCATAGGTGAGTTTTGAAGTGGATGAACGATCTAATTTCATTGCTACTATCAGTACAGGTGAAAATCTGGAAGCGGTATTGGTAACTAACCTGTATGTCTCTAGGGTATGGGTCATTAAATACGCTGATAGAATCTTTTAACAAATTTCTTATTTTCTGGTTCTCTGGTTCCTCTTGTAGGGCAATGTAATCCTGGCATAGTGGCATCAGTTCTTTGGAGTATGTAGGATCAAGGGAAGCAATGAAGCGGGGTAAGAGTGTCATGTCGGACCAAGAAAGGTTTTCTATAGCAATTGAGGCTGTCGAGTGCAAGGTTTTTATTTCAAGATTCTTCAAAGATTGAGAGAGTATACGAAATCTTTGCATTGATGCTTCGTGATTAACTCCCAGTATTTCGACTGGAGCGGTGTCTGATAGAGGCTCAACAAAAATCTCAACGGCACGATTTCTCATTGCCCTTGACAATTCTCCAAATTTTGGATCCATTGTCAAAAATATTCTAAAATCAGAGTGTGGCTTAACTATCTTTGGCTTACCGCTTTCACTATTGTACTCGTTAATGAGTAAGAACCCGTCTGGTTCTAGAAGAGAATTCAGCCTATCAAGAACGGAAGCGCTGCATAGATTAGCATTATCTAAAACGAGCCATTTTCCTTGCTCTAGAGCTTTAATTAGAGCACCATCACACCATTCAAAATGAGCACTGTCGAGTATCATTGTCGTCTCCGATAATTCTTTACAACAGCTAGCGAGACGTCCAAAGTCCTCTTGAGTTGTTTCGGCTTCCATATTGTGTAGTAGGTGTGACAAAGATGATAATAGATGAGATAAATTTGGCCCCCTTTGTTTTAGAGATTCGATGACGCTAATAACCTGTTCGGGAAGCTTATCAGGTAAAATTGAAAGAGCTTTTTGACTGCAGAATATCTCTAGTTCATCAAGAAACTTAATCGCGTTTCGCTGGGGATCGACCTGTTCGTAACCACCGATCAAATCCATAGTATCAGTGTCTGAAGTGAGCGGAAATGTAAGCAGCTCCTTTCCAACAACATTTGAAATATGTTGCAAGATTGTCGTCTTACCTGAGCCAGATGGCCCAACTAATATACAGGGAATATTTTCCTGAATACAGATCATAGTTGATTCGAGCTCAGAAAGGCGATTATTAAGATTCATTCCAGGTAGGGTGCCAGTCTGATTGATAAGATTTCTGTGTAAATATGCTAGCCCAACTTGGTATGCCCTAGAGCTAATGCTGTGAAATAGATGGCGAGGGGGACTACTACTTGAAAATTTATCTGCAAATACTCTATCAAGTTCCAACCGATCTTTACTCGTTCTAAACCGGTGACGTAGGGCAAAATCGAGGAAGTCAGAGGGCTGTGTAAATTTGAAGAAGTTTTTTTCAGACGTTAAAAGCTGAAGCCAACGTAAAATATCTCGAAGGTTAAACTCCCACGGTCCCCCTTGAGTACCAAATGTACGCTTATGAACTACCTCCTCTTCCAAGTGCAACACGAGAGTAATTATCTTTCCGATTAGATCCCCAGGCAATGAAGGAAACTTTTGCTGACATATCAGCTGTAAATCGTCCTCCTTGAATATGTCAGCATATACAACAGTAAAGCGGTTAACAAATGAGCTTGGAAGCCCCTTTCTCCCACCACCCTGATGATGTGGATTTTGGGCAGCAAACACAAAGAAGTTGGGATGACATTTGAAAGTATGATCCAGTTCTGAGATATAAACTTCTCCTCGATGATCTAGACATGCATTAAGACCTTCCAAAACTGATTGTGAAGCAAGATTCATTTCATCGAGTAAAACCCATTCACCTCTTTGCATAGCTTGTAAAAATGGTGCATCACGCCATGCAAACTTGCCAACTTCTGCGCCTTCGACTGGAACATCAGATCCAAATAGGTCCATTAAGTCAGTTTGCTCGGAAAGGTTTATTCGAGTGAGTGGCTGGTTACATATACGAGCAATGGCAGCTATTAATGTCGTCTTTCCAACGCCTGGGTTTCCTTCGATTAAGATTGGTTTTTTGACCTGAAGGGCTCGAATAACCCTCATAGCATTTATTTTTGTCGTCTTTGCCTCAAAAGCATACTCTTGTGATTCATTTTTTCCGAATCTTTTTTCTATAGAAAATTCTCCTATTTGAAGATGGTGTTCTGTGTTCAAGATATTAATGTTATTAAAGTACGAAGGCATCACATTAAAATCCAGGAGACTTCCGAGTTTAAGTAAGCATTTTTCACGTTCTTTCTGTATACTTTCCGTATTTCTTGATAGTAGGGCAGCTGGGTTAGCCCCTAAAGTATCAATATAGACCAGGGAGGCGCCTTGAACAACAAAAAAATGAGGATTTCCAGTGGGACAATTATTCATAAATTCTGTCCACGCGAGCATATCTCGAACTGATATAGATACCGATGTAGAACGATATTCCTGTCCAAACCACTCAGCAAACTGCACCATTGCTCTGGAATATATCTTCCACTCTTGTCCAAGTTTTGATTCTACAATTTGATAGATATCGTCGTAGTCTGATAATGCAGGTACCCATATTTCTGTAAATCTATTACGTAGGGCAGGAGACAGCTCTCTTTTGCCGTAATCGCCACCAGGATTCATAGTAGCCAAAAATTGAAAGCCGTTAATAGCTTTTACAAGTGAGTTATCGACGCCCTTCTCGGCTAGAAGAATTGTTCTCTCGGTTTCAAGCACAGAATTTAATCTCTCCAGGACAGCGTCGTCAGCTAAAGAAATTTCGTCAAGTAAAAAGAAATGACCTTCCCTCATGGCCTGCACTAGACTCCCGTCTGACCATTCAAATAAAGCTTTTGATTTTGCTTGATTAAGCTGTATATTCTGATGAAGTTCTAGTGGTAGCTTGTGAAGGCTAGCCTCGGGCACTAATTTAAAAGAATCAAGTAGATAATCTAAGTCATCGAAGTCTAAAACCTCTCGTTCCAATAACTTCATAGCTAGTACTAGATCTTTCCTTAAGTTTTCGAGTATTACCGACCGATTCCGAATAGGTCTCTGAGCACCAATAATATCACCTGTTTCTGTGTTCTGGTGAGCATTTACAATACTTAGTTTTTTCGAGAAAGCGTCAGCAAGCATCTGACAGACAGTCGTCTTCCCGCAACCTGTCTCTCCAATGAGAAGAACAGGCTCATTGTGGCGAATTGCATGGGAAACAAGGATGTAAAGTCGACGCATCGCATTAGTCCAAACAACTCCCTGTTTACTAGGTGCAACGTTATGAAATTGAATTTCTGCTGATAATTTATGATCATATATTTGACTAGGATTAATTTTCACTTTCATAACTCTCTCAATAATCTTAGTTACAGCATCTCGTTCCTCTGGTTTGCGAATTCGTTCGACAAGAAGCATATATCCGTTGAAAGCGAGTTGCTCTCGTGTTTCATATTCCCGTAGTGCCCATCTAAATAGGTCACGCAATGTCGCAAATCCATCTTTTTTTTCAAATACACGAGTTAAGAGGCGCAGTCTTGAAAGCTCTTTATATACGGTAACTATTCTTTTACAATCGGAAGGTGCCACATTTTTGCATCTTGTCTGCATGATAGTCTCTAGTTCATCTTCTGGAATGTCATCAAAATGAAGCTCCAAGAAGCGATTTCGAAAGGCCCGTGATAGTGTCTTTCTACCGCCGTAGATACCAGGTGGATTCTGAGTGGCAAAAAGCATAAAGTTTTCGTGGGGATGGACAATTTCTTGGGTTTCTGGGATAAATAATTCTCTATTGTCATCGAGCAATCGATTCAAAGCCTCAAGAACATCAGTAGGAGCAAGATTTAGTTCATCTAGAACAATCCAATAACCCTGCCGAAGAGCTTGAACCAAGAGACCTTCTTGGAAACGAAGTTGTCCGTCATTACCAGATATGTAAGACCCTAGGTATTCTTGAAGATCGGTATTCTCGTGGTTGTTTATCCTAACGCACTTATTACCACTATACCTGGCAAGGAATTGGATCATGCTCGTTTTCCCTGAAGATGTCGGACCCTGAACTAGGACTGGATATCGTCTAATCGAGGTAGCACGAACTAGGTTCAATAAGTTTCGCTCAACAAAAGGTGTTCTAATATAATCTTGAAACTCTTGACAGGTTTCAGCGCCTTGAAGAAGCCAATAATGACGATCTTGTTTGGCACTCTTAAAATGAACATAGGGTCTATCATCTTCAGGACAATTTGGTTTTTGTGATAACAAAGACTTCACATTCTTATGATTTCCTAAAAGATAGTGATCAATTAAAGGAGACAAAATCTTTTCAGATTCTCGATCAAGAAGTGTTAAAAAACCCATTGCGAACCCCTCGCACAAAGCCCGCCGCGTTCCGTAGAGTGGCGCAATATCACTGACGTAGCTAAGCACTCTAGTTAACGTACGAAGACTAAAATGTGGGACATTATTGGCACCGTCCACCAACTTTTTTTCATCTACCAAACGCTTTATATTTAGGTAGAGCTTGGCTACATCATAGGAGACTCTTTCGTCATTTTTGGTAACTGTTTTGAGGTAAGATTTTATTACAATGAGAAGGTCGTCTAAATTTTTATCTGGACTTTCAACGTATATTTCAGTGAACCTAGAGCGGATACCTGGAAGTAAATCGTGCTTTCCAATATCTGTTGCCGGGTTCATTGCACCAAATATTCTGAAGTTTGGGTGTGCATAAATTCTCTCTATTTCTCCTGTCTCAGAAAGCAGAATTGAAGGTGTCTCAGTTGGCCCATGGTGTAGAAGGTCTGCGATGCTTTCTATAGTATCCGGCGGTGCGAGATTTATCTCGTCAAGAAGAACCCAATCCCCATTTCTGGCAGCTTTTATAATGTTACTCTCAATAAATGAGAAGGCGAAGCTCTTAGAGCCCCCAGAAAGTTGTATTTCGAACTGATCTAGATTTTTTGAGAATTTATCAATCCTAGGTTTGAGTTCCAATAAAATTTTCAACCTTGACTCAGTCTTACGTCGCTTTGACGGTTGTTCTGATTCTGCAGATGAAGCCAATTTGTAGCTTTCACCTTTCTTTATCGTTGAAAGAAATTGATCATATATTTTAGGAACCTCTCTCCAGAGCCTTAATGCCTTGATCCATTGTCTCTTAGCGACATATTTACTCAATTGATCTAGATATTTTTGGTTCTTATTTGCAGATAGACCAATCGATGCAAAAAGATCATCAGCGTCATTTTTCAATGGCATGGCAAGAGTTCTTATATTTACTGGTTTGTAACCTCCTAAGAGATCACCAGCTTCGGTTTGTTGAGATAAGTTTACGACGGTCAACTTGTACCCTAGGCGATTGGCAAGATGCTGAATAACAGTAGTCTTGCCAATACCAGTCTCGCCGATAAGTAGACATGGTTCTGACCACTTGACTGAGACTCCCACCTGCTCTAGCAAACGTTTCGCATGACTTGTATTTGCAAAAAGTCGAGATTTTTTATCAACATTTTCGATACAATTTAATGTAGGAAGAGTGACCCTGCCAATCGTAATCTCTTTTCCTTTTTCCTCATACTTCGGTATGTGAGAGCTGATAAAAAATTCGGCGTTTTGAGGGCTAATTAGCATTTCTTCCGCGATACACAAGATAAAATTTCTGCGCACATCCGCTACCTGCAAGCTAGCAGCAAAACAATCTGTTGCTTCCATAAAAAACTCATATCGAATTTCATCAGTAATTTGTTCACGACTATTCTTTATTCCACATCTTAACAATAACCCTTCTAGTCGCTTACACCATTTTAAAAGATCTCTAGGACAAATAGCTCTTCCAAATAAACCTCTTGTAGCTGGGTATATTGAGGCTGAGTTTTGTGAAAGACTAGAAACACGATTATAAACATTAAGAATAGTTGGTAAATACTCATGCAGGATGGGATGTATGCCATTAATTATTTGGTGTAATTCTACTTCAGAGGCAGGTTCAACAGGAGTACGTTGCCATAGACGTGCTCCAAGTGTGTGCAACGATGGAAACTTTTCTTCCCCTCCTAAGCCTTGTGAGGTTCTTAAACTAGCAAGTAACTGAAATCCACGTCCAGCTTTAATTGTTTCCCCACGACTTGGAATAAACAATTCACCTTTCTCAATTAAGGGTAACAGGATACTAATAACTTCATTTGGAGCACGATCAAGATCTTCTATGAAGACCCATCGTCCTTCACTTATCGCAGTAGTGAGAATGCCGGCTTTCCAAACGAAAGTACCCGGCGCTCTTCCAGTTACATACGTCCCTAGGAGCATTTTTGCATCAGTCTGTTCGTTTAAGTGAAGTGTAACCATTTTCGATTCTATTGAGAGTTCTCTAGCAAAATGTTGGACCAACAAGGTTTTTCCTGAACCAGCTAATCCATGAAGAAGAATTGACGAGCCCATTTTTAGGGCTTTTGCGAATCTTTCTATGTTGCGGGACATAGTTACAGTATGAATAATGAGTGATTTAAGTTTCGAGGGCCCACTTGGTCGAGGATAAAGTATACTACCGCATCTAATAACAAACGGAGAAATGTTGTCGAGATTATATTTATCCAAGCAGTTCTTAGAAAATTTATGTTGATCCATCATCGACTTTCTTACATCTTGAAATCTGTTTTCTTCGAGTAAACTAAGAAAAGCTATATCCTTTTTCATGCCATCAAAGTACCCCCAGACAATAGACTCCTTGCCAATATATTTCTCGTTCATTTCCTCGAGCTTGAAATCCGCCGCGGACATAATTTGGCTAAATACACGTATAGCTAGAAATCGAACGGCTAAATCTTTATGATTGAATAGACTTTGAATTTTTATGAACTGTACTGTGGTAGAAAAAAAATATTTGTTGAAGTTGAGAAGTCGCCATATTGCTAGAAGAATTTTTTGGAGTTCGGTGGTCTCTAAATTGTGTATTTCCGCCTCATCTGCATTAAAAAATGATAATTTTCCCCTGAATTTAATTTTCGATTCCAAGTAATTCTCTAGAAATGCTATACAGTATGGCGCAAAAGGAAGGATTTGCGCAATGGCAACGATGATTTGATTCTCGGGAATGCCAGTCGTGAGCCATCGTGCGAGGGTGTCTGCAAAAATCTCTTCATATTTCACATATAGTCTTAGGGTGAGATGTGGTTGTAAAGCTGATAGGGCGAGGGCGTCAAGGAATTTTGGTGTTGATTGTAGCTGTATAATGTGCCATATTTCTTCTGTTTGCTTGTCTAGTATGTAACCTACATCCACATCTAGTTCCTGCTCATCATTGTCCATTTTGAGCTGTTGTGCAGGCAATAATGATTCGCTGCCGTACAAAGACGCGTCCAGGACGTGTGCCAAAATAAATTTGATATTGAATGGATCAAAGTTAATCCGCCTCGCACCACTTAATTCAATATAGCGGATTTGTTCTCAAAGTCATAAGTTCAGACAGTATCAACCCTATCGCAGAATTTGAAAAAGCAACATGTCATTAGCCTCTAATACTGCGGCTCACTCTTGCGTCCGGACACTCTGTAGTCCGCGCATTTACGGTATTAGAAGCCTTCGTTCTCGTATAAACCAACAGAGCAGATGGCAGACGGTCAATGCAGCCTCCAATCCTAAAATCTCAGATATTGTTGATAAAATCAGTCAACTGACCCTATTAGAGACGGCTGATCTGGTAACAAGTTTAAAGGTTCGTTACAGTATCTAATTGACCTGATCTAGGATGAAAGACTAATCTTACGGCTTGGCCTTTATAGACACGGTTAAATATTCCTGATATGCCTGTAGGTGGGTTTGCTTCTGCTGGGAGCACTACAGTATCTGTGGCCACGCCAGTCGAGGAGGAAGACGCCGCTCCCGCCCAGCAGGAAAAGACAATGTTCAATTTAAAGCTCCAAAGCTTTGACGCAGCAGCAAAGCCCAAGATAATCAAGGAAATTAAAAGCATGCTGGGATTAAGCTTAGTGGACAGTAAGAAGTTTGTAGAGAGTGCGCCTAAACTCATGAAAGAAGGGGTGCCTAAAGATGAAGCCGAAAAAATTGTAGCTGCATTGAAAACATTGGGTGGTGTGGTTACCATGGAGTAAGGCACTATCACAAAAATGGTTGGGTTAGACTTTTACAGGTATACATGCCCTATTACAACCAAAAGAGATGATTTTCTCTCCGACAAAAGCTATGATGGTGATTCACGAATAATATTTCAACAATTCCTACGAACGGGCAAAAACGATGATCAGTAGTAAATCTATAATTAATTCATCTAAGTTTATTTATTAAGAATGGAGTACATTTTAATTTCATATTTTTGACACATGATCTGCTTGAGAGACAGCGATACTAACAGAAGGCTCTTTAAAGTTAAGTAGATAAAGATTTCAGCGATTTGCCAGCAGAGCTTTTAAGAAAGTTCCAATTAACGTGGACATCACCTCTTAGAAATCGAATCAACGATGAACTTTATACCTCCAGCACAATCCACTGGAGAGAATAAAATACCGAACTAAATTTTGTTGTAATTGCAAGGTTATGAGGTATGGAATAGCTACCCATAATGTATTGCACGTACTCTAAACGATATGATCGATATTGCGGCAGATGAGTATATAGAATATTTTATGCTTGATACAGCTAAATGTGAGAGAATCTCTATTCTTGTATACATATGAATATACTACAACTCCGATTGGAATCATTCTATGTAATTCCAGATTTGTCATGTCAACTTCCATTCTGTATCAGTACATTCCATACCATAAACATTATTTCTATTAGTCTCACCGATCTTCAGTATACATATGTAGAGGTATCCATACTGTAATTGTAACAAATTTTAGGCGCAATAATCCCAAAGTGAAGAATACTCGGTTAAACAACCAGCCAACTCGTCGCCAAAATCAAGCCCCCATCCACATTTCAACAGTCTTTCAAATGTAACAACGAAAGGAGGGTTTCAGCTAGGATTAACTCTTCACCTTCCAGCGGTATCGGTGAAATCGCTCAGTATGCTCTGCATATCTGGGTTGGCCATTAAGAATAGTATCCGAATCGAAGTCGAAACAACTTCAAGCATATCCCCAATTAATGACTTCTCGATGTTATAAATGCATGGTTATGGGAGGTGGAATAGTTACCGGCAAATAACTGCACGTTCACTGAGACTTGAAGATGGAGGTAGATTGTAATAAATTAGCAGGCTTGATTGCTTTCATTCAGGTTTGGAGAATCACTTGTTTTATATATATACACCACATTCTATGGCTTTCCATATCCCCAGTCACTCAGTTCCATTCAGCTCTGAGTCATCACATTCTATCCCATCCTGTTCTATTCTATCTGACTCTGGTCTGCTCTGTTTTAACCATTAGATTCTACATCTCTGTGATCCACAATAACCAGATGCAGGGGTGGTTATGTCATCAATCACAACACTCCCCTTGACGTATATGAGCGTCTTGCTATAGTGATTTATGAGTGCTGATAATGATGAATGAATTTGTTATTTTTTGGATGTGTCACTAGATCTGAACCTTGGATCTGGCTTTCGTCAGGCAGTCAGCTAGTTGTTGTTCTGATGGAATATAGACAACTTCAATCTCTTCTTGGCTGTATTGCTGCCGCAAAAAATGGTTTCGGAGAGCTACGTGTTTAGACCGCTTGTGATTGTCATGATTTTTGACTAGTGATATGGCTGATTGGTCATCAACGTAGAATCTAGTTCTCCGAGATCCATGGATGCGTTCAGTAATACCCAATTCTTCAAGCAACGATTTAACCCATAGTAGCTCACGATAGGTTTCTGTGGCGGCTAAATACTCTGACTCGGTAGAAGATAAAACAACTTCGCGCTGTAGACGAGATCTCCAGCTAACTGGTCCTTCTGCGATCCTAATTAGTGATCCTGAAGTTGATCTACTCGTATTTGGATCTCCAGCGAAGTCTGCGTCTGAGTATGCTTCAAGTGTTGGTCTCTTGTTACTCTTGGTGAAGGTAATACCCCTATCTGGATCCTTTGATATATATCTAAGAACCCGGCGTGATGCTTGGCAATGCTCTTCTGACGGATTTGTAAGGAATCGTGCCAAATGATTGACTGCGTGCGCAATTTCTGGCCGAGTGTTATTGGATAGGTATTGCAGCCCTCCAATTATTGAATTGAATTCCACTTTTATCTGCTCTAAACTATTGGATTTATTTGGCTCTAACAAACGTTCGAGTGGGTAGTTTGCTGGGATGCAATCCCTGAGACCATGTCGTTCTAGTAGCTTACGCGCGTATTGTCCTTGGGAAAGCTTTAGCGTATTGCTATCTAGGCTACTGATATGGATTCCGAGAAATTGATCATGCATGAAACTTTTGAACTTATACTTCGTATGCAGAGCTTGCATCAGGCCATCTAACTTTTGGAGATTCGGTCCCATGACCTGAAAATCATCAATATGCACAATTACAAATAGATCTTTCTGCTTGTTGGTATACAGGCAGACCTCAGTGATTGTCGGGAACATTCCTTGGTCAATTGCGAAGGCTTTCACATTCTCACAACATAGAGCTGCGGCTTGCTTGAGGCCGTGGAGTCCTTTTTTGATGAAGATGATATGGTTATTCTTTTTGAATCCTTCGGGCAAATCCATATAAAGATCAACATCTAAATCAGGGTTTAGGAAGGCCATTGGTACATCTCCCTGACGCCTGTGCCACCCAAACTTATACGAAAGGGCTAGCATTATCCTTCCTGTCTCTGCTCTCGGCGTGGGTGCAAAAGTTTCATTATAGTTAAGCCCCGCGCGTTGGATGAAACCTTTGACTGTGCAGCAAGCCTTGTATTTGTCTAAACTTCCATCAGCTAGAAATTTTGTTTTAATGACCCACTTGCATTTCATAGGGGTGCGGCCATTGGGCAGTTTGGAACGCCGAATAATCTTGATAGCCCCTGTATCCTGCAAGGAACAAAACTCTTCTACTGCAGCCTCTTTCCATTTCTCTGCTTCCGGACAGCTCATAGTCTCGTGCCACGTTTTTGGATCATTACTAAGTCGCGCTACCTTACCGTAGTGTAGCTTGCGGTAGTCCACTCTCTTCACTGGTCTTCCACGTTTGCTTAGAAATATTTCTGATTCAGGAGAGTGGTCCCGCTTGCTCCCATACAATTTGAGCTATTTCATCCCATCCAGTCATGATCTTATCCAATGGTGCTTAGTTTGTTTCACCAGATACATCAATGGTATTGAACTCCCCTTGATTGGGTTGCTCAAAATCTACATGCGGACAGGCATTCCCGAAGTCATTTGGTGGTAATAGTGCCGCAACACTGTCATCTATATCTAACTGTGATGATACTGATGGTGAACTTGGCCTTAGTATTGGGTCTCGTAGATGTGGCCAGGATTCGTCTAGGAGTTTTGGAGCCCTAGGTGGATTCTCAACTGGATGATTGTCGATTGGAATATCTGGTGGTTGATTCTCCATGCTATTGCTCATGGGTACGGCTGGTGCTTCTTTTGTCGGTCTGACATGGAGTTCTAATTAATCGGATAGCTATATTACTGGGGCAGGAGTCAATCATGTGTTTTTCTGCTACCTATCCTGGTATTGATTAGAATTTTGTGCTGGTAAACTCTACCCTTCAAACTTAGAAATTTAGTCCATCTGTATGTTAGAAAATTCATGATTTTGATTGTCTATACCAGAGTCATTCTATTTTCCAGTCCAGTAGTTTACAGTCTTATTTTGATCTGAAATGCTCAGCATGTCTCCGAACATGATATCCTCATTTAATGACGCATGAGGCGAAACACTTTCGATCCATTTCAACCCTTGCAACGATATCCAGTGAGGATGGTATATGAGATAAATTTTGTTGGTGTTTTTCTGAAGACCGACAAACCATTCTTTTTCTGCTCTGGCTTCAAATTTTCCAGGCTTGGGTTGAATCAACTTGTATGCCCGGCATCCAAAGCGAGGTAAAAATCTCAAATCAATCTTGTCGTGATGCGGCTGCTTTAGGCCGTGCAAGAAATCGATTATTGGTATCTTCTTTATCTGAAGACAGTAGATCCTGTTGGTGATAGAACATGCATGCTCAACTGCCCATGGCCAAAAGTATGGTGGCATGCGAGCATCAATCAGCATTGATCGTGCTCTTCTCAAAATGAATTTATTTGAGGCTTCCGCTACTCCAATCTGCTCCGGTGTATAAGACGCCGAAGTATCTGTGCAAATACAATGACTGTCACAATATTCTTGTATGCGGGTCAAGTCAGAGCCTCCATCCCTGAAGATTGCTCGGATACGCTTGCCGTACTGATGTTGCTGGGTTTCGGCCCATTGAACCAGTAGTTGTGCGATCCGGTCTTTTGCGTTGGTAGTGATTACCCACCTCATTAGGGAATTTGCACCAGTGAGAATAATTGCATAATGATGGCCGTTGAAGGCTATGGTTAATTTGCCGACCGTATCAACAAAAATTTCATCTAGTGGCCCGGCTGGTGTTGGCCTCGGCTCGCTAGAAACGAACCTTTGCGCTTTGCTCAGATGGCTTTGTTAAAGATTTAATCTGTCCATAACTCTGGGCTTGATGATGACCAGCAAGACGAAGAATATCATGACCTGCCATTTAAGATAAAAGGGCAAACAGGGCATCAATTAGAAGATAGTACCAATATAGTAAGGGGTGATTAGCCCAGAGTAGGTATGGGCATAGTGAATGTAGTCGGAAGTGTCATCATATTAAAGAGGAGTCAAGTGCGCGATATATATATATACACGTGTCATATCCCTGTCACTAATTACCAAACCCCGCACTGCCATAAACACCCTCAATATCTGCTATCCATCGCAATCCTGAGTATCAATATGAGTTACTGTTATACTGTGTGTTTGTACGGGTCGACATCAAGATAGAAATGTTAACAGGCATGTCTCACATGTGCTAAACTCCGATAAGTCGATACCTTCCAATCCTACTGAATGTTCAGCAGTTTTCTTGAGAATCTGTTGTCCTGAATGCCCGAGTCTTTGATGCCAACGCTGAGAGCTTGTGAGGGATGGGAGTCTTGTAACTCCTGGCGCTGCAATATTCAATGAG